CCTGTGAGAGATTGAAAAAAGAAGACAGTGAAGAGTCTTATGCAGTAGTAGACTGACCGTGTGACCGTGTCTGAGACCAGGACCAGATTTTTTGATAGTCTTATTATCAATTCGACTGATCCCATTACACGGTTTTAACATTAGATAGTAGTTTCATACTGTCTCAGTGAGACTTACTGTCTACTCTTGTCACATTTTCCAAATGAGATCATGATTTTCACTTCTCAATTTAAATTATTTTTATTGCTTTAAATGACTTTAAATCTCATTTGAGCGTTACCAAAAAGCGTTACTTTTTAAAAAATTAAAAATGTCTAAAAATAGTAACTTTATGCCAAGAATGGGACTAAATGGGACCAAATGAGATCACTTTCTCATTTTTTTCAAGTCATGATTCCATTTTAAGATCTGATATATAGTCACTTTACATGTTTTTTTGATAGCCAGTCCCAGCGGGATTCACGCCAAGAAATGTATGAGACCAGATCAAATGAAATCAAACGTGAAATTCATGGTCTCAGCGGCCAGTCTATGCAGTAGTGATGAGATCAGAAGAAGTTCTGAGAATAAGTTGAGATTAAGATAAAGAGAGAGAGAGAGAAGAAGAGTATTACTGTAAATAAGCAGTAGCAGAAGAAGATTGAGAAGATATTAAAGTAAGAGATAAAGAAGTTAAAACTGATAAGTTTTTTATTAAGAGATAACAATTTTTGATAATACTTCTGTTCTCTAATTGATTAGCAGAAGCTGATAGAGAAGAAGAGAATTGAGGCCTTGTTCAGGTCTCAAATGCACTCTATAATTCAGAACATTGAGAAGACAGCCCTGCTCTCTGAGTATGTTAATCTACTTATCACTGAAGTGAAACCTGAGACAGCAGATCAGAAAATGTGGGATTTTAAGGCACAGATTGACCTGACTGAGAGAAAGCAGCAGAAACTCTTCTCTGAAAAGACAGCAGAGAGAGATTTTGAGATGATTATCATCTCAGATAAGAAGAAGAAGAAGAAGAATAAGAATGAGAAGTGAATTATAAAGAATAGTGAGAAGAATGAGAAAGAGAAGAAAGATAATGAGTAGAAAAAGTTTTTTTCTTTTTATATTAGTTAGTTATAAGTTCATAACTATTAGTTAATAATTGAAATTAATTTTGAGTTTTCAAAAATTATTGTACAAGTTGTAATCAATTATCAATATCAGGAATAATATATATATATATATTCAACTATTATATTACTATAATGTATAAGTATCAACATTTTTTCAACATTGATATTTATAATATTAATATATTTTTAATGATATCATCTGATAATGTAATTTAATAATACTCTCTTTCATAATAATAATATATTTCAAGAAATATGACAGAGATTAATTAAGATTATTTATTTACTTTTATACATTGATGATATTCAATCTGAGTTAGTACTAAAATTATAACTAAGCTAAGAAAGAAGATTATTTTCTCTTATATTAATTCTTCTTACACACATCAGTGATCAGTTATTGAAAATAAATTATTATCTTTCTTAAATTATTATTATATCTTCTGAATTCACTTCTTTTACTTCTTTTATTTCTATTGAAGATTTACAAACTCTTCAAGAAATCACTGTGAATTACAAAGTCTATATTATTTACAATTCAACACAGAATGCTCTCTTTCAATTATAATGAATAATCACTTCAATTCTTCACATCTAATTCCAGGTCATGAAATTTATGAAAAACTCAACACAAATATCAAGATAACTATGAAATAATTATTAATAGATTATATTATAGATTACTGAAGAGTCATCTCTCTGCTGTAATCACTGCAACTTCATTCAGAAATATTCATTATAAACTGATCATAGCTCTGAAGAAATTTTTCTGACATCTAAAGTCATCAGAATGTAGATAATAAAAGAAAAATAATCAGAAAATTTACTACTAAGCTGATAAGTTACTCTATCAGATAACAATTTTTGATAATACTAACTTTCTAATTTGAAGAAAATTATGTGAAAATGATGATGTATCAGTACTCTGATTTCACAACTCTTATCTGATAACTTTCATGAATAATTACTTTGTATATATATATCTCTGAATCTTTCTCTTTAATCAATTGAAAACTCTGAATTCTGAACACTTCTTTAAATACTTAATTCAAATCTTCATATTTCACATTAATTCTGTCTTCAGTTCAATCTTGAGATATACTACAAAGTTAATATACAATATCTAGAATCAGAGTTGAAGAATCATTAAAGAGTGTCTCTCACAGTGAATGTATGAACTAGTACAAATAATCTTGTATTTATAAGAGTTATATATTATTACATTGATGAGAACTGAACTTATTAAGAGATATTAATTGAATTTGAATCATTGATCAGTAGTTATACTGAGGATTATATAACAGAGATATTAATGACTGTGATTAAAAATAACTATTGAAATATTAGTCTCAGTCTTCTTATAATTACAACTGATAATACTGTAAATAACTACACTATAATAGATAGCTTGAAGCAAAAATTAGCTTTGCATTTCTGAAATGATAAACAAGGTCATATTCTCTGCATTACTCATGTGATTTAACTTGTGATACAAACACTGATAAAGAATCTTAACATTGAAATGAAGAATAATAAGATGACTGATTCTTGAAATGAGAATAAGATAAAAGTGATTACTTAAGTCACTTTTACATTCACTTTATAAAAGATACTGTTTTTTGATAATATTTTTTGATATTGCTTTTTAATAACACTTTTTGATAATACTACTGTTAATTTTAAATAGATTGACTAATAATTTAAATATCACAGATTTGAAACATTGTTAATATAATTTATATCTTCTCTAAATAGTAATAATGATTTCATGATATTCAATAAACAAACAAATCAGTCACATCACTGAATATGATACAGAATATTAAAATACAGTGAAGTTTAATATATAAGATGACTGTTCAGACTCTTTAATTATGTCAGATGATTGATCATTGAGTGTAACACTCTGATCAGAAAAAGATTCAGATATTGAAACTTTCTAATATGAAATGAACTTAGTTAAAATATATGATTAATTTACTGTTTCAGTTTTATAAGACAATAAAGACAGTCTTCATCACTTATACATCAATATTGCAGTCAGTCTGATGAATGTATAACAGTTTATTTACTCATCTTAAGAAGTAGTTAAATCACTTAAAAAGAAATTCAGTCTGAAATGATGCTATAGCATAGACTATTATTACTGTAAGAGATAAACTGATATATTACTACAGTAAAACTGAATAATCTTTTACAGAGTACTATGCTGTAGCAGCTCTACTAGATCTCTCTTATCAAGTTAATATCTACACTTCTCAAGATTGAACAGAGAAGAAATAAGACTTATATGTCAAATTAGCTCAAGACTACTACAATGTCAACTATTAGAGATTTGAATAAGCAGATATTAGAGATGTGAAGACAGTGAAATACAATTCTCTAATAAGTAACAATCTTTGATAATACTTCATATTACATAGAACTATAATACTAACTTTGAAACAGAACTTATATATATTGATTACAACTGAAAATCAGACAAAACTACATGCTTATAAAACTGAATTTGACTGCTATCTTCAAGATAATTCAACAAATTTACATGTCAAATCAATTCTAGAGTTATGAAAAATTGTTGAGAGTACATATTCAACTGTTACACTGATAATATGTGATATTCTAATAATTTCATTGACAGAGATGAAAATGAAGTGAAAGTTCAACTTAAGTTAAGATATTTATCACTATTATCAGAGACAATTATAAGAAGAAACAATTAAGAAACTCATGATTATAAAACATGAAATTATCAGACAGTTTAATACCTTCTGATCAACAGTAATATCAGAAGAAGTGTAGTTTTCA